ACAGTTACCTTTTTACTGTGAGGTTTCTCTCTCTTCACCTGTATACAGATGCCTTTTGACTATACTGACCTGCTAACGGTTAGCCGACTGCTAGTTAACAAAACTGACAGAAGCAGTGTTGTGTTTCACTGAAAAATTGAATTTACTGCATTTACTAGTTCTGTAAAACAGCAATACAATCACATAAACTGAAATTACAATATGCGTGTAAACATGTCTATTACAAATGCATACAACAAACACATTTCTACAAATGCTATCTGTAGCTACAACTACCTACAAATCACATTGGATATACTGAAATGCAATCTAGCTTCCAGAAGAACACCAGTGAAGGTCCCTTCACTCTCCGTTTGATACACATATGCTTGTAAGTTCATCCATTGTATTTGTTAAAGTCACATATTGAAATGCGATCTAGCTATATATGTGACTTTAACAAATACAAAGCATGACCTTACAGGCATATGTGTATCAAAGGAAAATGGAGGAGACCTTCACTGCTGTTCTTCTGGAAACTAAATGGAACTGCAATGGGAGATGGGAAATATTTATTTTTAATGAACACTTCCTGTATTTTATCGATGAGTGCAATCGCAGTGAAAGCCCAATAGATGGCTCCCTACTCAACACAATGCTGATATACAGAACAGATAGAGGGAAGAGAGATTAGAACACCTACTGGGTTTTTATTGCTGTCTAGGTCCATGTTAGGGGAATTCACCCTATTTGCCATTGTTATAATACAAGAGTGAAAGTAAAAGAAAATCCCCAAATTTGGGCTGTCCCCAGAATAAGAGGGGTAATCTTCCATTGGGAACACTAATTCTAGTGACACCTGGGAATTCACACACTTTGGAGGAATTTCCTCTCACTTCCTGTTGAGCTACAGGACAGGAAGTGAAGGTAAATCTCTACAATTGGATACAGATGACAAAAACAGAGGACATAACCCTCTCTTATTCTACCCAAAGTGAAAAAAAAAACATATTTTGTTATTATCATACATTATTTATATAGCGCCAACAGTTTGCTCAGCGTTTTTTACGTAACTGAACGGATCAAATTCAAAATCCTAACACTGACGTACAAAGCTGTCCACCATACTGCCCCGAACTACATCACTGACCTAATATCCAAGTACCGCCCAGCACGCACACTCCGCTCCTCACAAGACCTCCTTCTCTCTAGTTCCCTGGTCTCCTCCTCCCATGCCCGCCTCCAGGACCTCTCCAGGGTGTCCCCCATCCTCTGGAACTCCCTGCCCCAACCCATCAGATTATCACCTACTCTCCTCTCCTTTAGACACACCCTGAAAACCCATCTCTTCAGGGAAGCCTACCCCACCCCCTGCTAACCTGCCGACCTCCTCCACTCTTCCTACCACTCCATCCCCCACAGCTATCTCCTCCTGTACCACTATCCCCTCCCTCCTAGATTGTAAGCTCCAAGGAGCAGGGCCCTCAATCCCCTCATGTTTTGCATTGTATTGGTATTGTTCTGTCACATGTTCTGTCCCCCTTTGTAATATACAGCGCTGAGCGAACTATTGGCGCTTTATAAATACTGTATAATAATAATAATAATTACCATACTGGTTGACTTTGGCAATAGATTAGGGCAGTGGTTCTTAACCTGGGTTCGATTGAACCCCTGGGGTTCGGTGAGTCAGTCTCGCGGGTTCGGCGGAGGTGAAGACCCACACCCGACTCATATGATTCGTGCAATAAATATTCATTATTATGTTTTTGTTTTTGTGTGAAAATCATGTTTTAATGGTTTTGTTCTTTGTTCTTAATGGTTTTGTTCATTTTGCGCACCTATGTATATAAATATATACCTATGTTTTGAATTTGAAAAATCATATTTTATTTTTCCAATTAAGAAGGGTTCGGTGAATGCGCATATGAAACTGGTGGGGGTCAGTACCTCCAACAAGGTTAAGAACCACTGGATTAGGGAATACAGTGAATGTAGCAACAAACTGCTTACTGACCTTTACAAGCCTCAAACCTGTTACATTATTTCGGCCTTTTGACACTATTTCTGTGTTCCCTCCCATTGCTGTTGGTCTAGCAATTTTTTAGGGATCACACTTATATCAAGGTTCTAAACATCCTCGAAAAGCTAGAGGGCGCTGTAAGGACAGTGTACGCCCTCTTGCATAGGACGTAGTGACACACCTATATCAAGGTTCTAAACATCCTCCAAACGCTAGAGTGCGCTGTAAACAAACCTTACGTCTTCTTGCACGTGACGTATGACACACTTATATCAAGGTTCTAAACATCCTCGAAAAGCTAGAGGGCGCTGTAAGGACAGTGTACGCCTTTTTGCACGTGACGTAGTGACACACCTATATCAAGGTTCTAAACATTCTCGAAAAGCTAGAGGGCGCTGTAAACAAACAGTACGTCTTCTTGCGTGTGACGTATGACACACTTATATCAAGGTTCTAAACATCCTCGAAAAGCTAGAGGGCGCTGTAAGGACAGTGTACGCCTTCCTGCACGTGACGTAGTGACACACCAATATCAAGATTCTAAACATCCTCGAAAAGCTAGAGGGCGCTGTAAGGGCAGTGTACGACTTGTTGCGTGTGCCCTACGAGAACACCTTTAAAAATCAAACTTCTATTTCATCGTCCCAGTGGTTATTGCGTTTGGAACTAATGCGAGAATCAGGGCAGACAGCCTGAATTTGCACTTTAAGAACGATCTATTTTCTATAGCCCTTTTCAAAGATGGCTGCTACTTAGCGTGCCACGTGACTTGCGCTTTACGGTTTTCTGTGTCGTGAATTGGCAGGAGCAGAGGACGTTCGGAGCTGCTGAGGTGAGGGAATATTTAGTTTGACCTCCAACGTTAGGCAGAGCTGTGCATAGATATGTTGTATCATCCCGGAGTCGGCTCAGGCGGTCAATGCCGGGTATGTTGTGGGCGCTGGGCCTGTCATGGTGCTGTGATAGAAGGACACTGGCAGTGTACAGCGCTCGGGGGGCATAGTGTCAGTGCTTGTCCTAGGTTGAGCACTGACATCACACTGGCTGCTCCCTTGTGTCTGATCAGGGCCCTTGGCAGCTCCATACCAGTGCATACAGGACACCAATGTACAGATTGGATGATTTAGGTGACACTACACACCTGTCTACGGAGAGCCTGTATAGAAGTATAAATTCACATCACTCCTCTCCATCATCAGAACACTAGAGCAGTGTTTCTCAACTGTTTGTCAGTCAAGGCACCCTTTGAAATTATGGACAGTCTTGAGGCACCCTTTAAAATTATGGAGTTGAGGCACCCCATTCTAAAATGGGGTGCCTCAAGTCCATAATTTTAAAAGGGCACCCCATTCTAAAATGTCTACACATGTAGGACACCCAACATTAGAGGTGATTTATTCTTCCAATGCAAATACATTTTTGCACCCTGATACTGACTAGTATTCCAATGTTTCTCTTCATCAGTTCTTGTCCATCACTGACCTAATGTGACCCCAGCACTGAGGGGCGGAGGAGGGGCAAACTAGGATGCCGTGCAAGCAACTGACATCCTCCTTATCAACTGGGATGTCATTGGTTGTCAGGACACCGGCTGCTAGAAGGTCGTAATGGTGCACAATGAAAACCTGTGACTTTGTGTAACTAAAAGGCAGACTTGTTCCACCTGTTGGCTTGTTTTGAGCAATTTTTAGACATTTTGCGAAGGCACCCCTGAATAAACCTCAAAGCACCCCAGGGTGCCTGGGCACCCTGGTTGAGAAAGGCTGCATTAGATAACAGGCACCCAGTATCAGGAGATCAGGTCATGAGTGGTTCTCTAGTATTCCAAGCAAATGTGTTAAAACAAAAATGTATCAGGTGGTTGAGCTAAGATTTTACTGCCCACCTAAATAAGGGCATGCAGCCGCTCTAGGCTGTACACGTGCCATGGTAAAAATTAAATGACACGTCACTTTCAGCAGGCAGTGCGACCACCAAACATGTCGCACTCAAGGGAATGGAGCCATGCCACAACTGTATAAAAATGCACACTGTCAAGGCTTTGAGGCGTTAGGGAGGTTTCATATGGCCTTCTCACCACCTGTCAAACGATCACCAAACAACGATCCACTGCGGAACGCTTTTCAGAGCAGCGCCAGTATAGCCATTGTGGATAAATTAGAACTTTACTCGTCAAAATTTCCGTCCATGACTTTGAGCTCAGTCAGAACGGCTGTAGGGCAGAGCTTCCTTTTCATTGAAAGCCAGGCTGCCTGAACCCTGAAGAGGTCCAAGTTGGTGGTGTGGGACACAGACAGCTAATTAGCAGGACACCGCAGGATCCACTGGACAGGTGAGTGTGGGTTTTGAATTAATCGGTATTGGGGGGGGGGGTACAGCAGAACTGAAGGCAGTTTATTCCTACCTTTCATCTGATAGTCCTGTCCCTCGCCGGTATCTGCTCCTCTGTGCTGGTTTTTGGTCAACACAGGAGGCCATCATTCTGGCATAAAGGGATCAAGCCAGCTGTTGAGCTGCACGGCCAGGATTTTTCATGCAAAAGAGACCTGTTTTCTCATCTGCATTAAAGCCACTTGCCTTTCCACCCCTATGCAGTAAGCTGCACAAGTGTGGCCCACTTCATGAATTCAGCAGTGCTGAAGGTGACAAAATTCCTGTGCATGCGCGGGAGTGACATCATCTTGACCCGGCGCCCAAACAACGAATGACAGGGAGTTCAGGGGATGGTGCATCACTGGATTCAAGGCGAGTATGGTTCCCCTTTAAGAAGTGACTTTAGTTTGATATAGGTAAGATTCTTGGTATTTTACCAGTATATTCTAATATCTTTTCAGTTGCTAATTGAGTCTTGAATATAGACATTTTTATCATAATGAAAACAATTCCATTTGTAAATATTACAGCGTCTGACTGTTTGTCAAAGATGAAAATATCAGTTTGATGTGAGTTTTGATTTAATTTCTAATCCTTTATTTTCTGCTGCTGTTACTTTGTAGTCATGCCATTTATTGATCTTCAGAGCAGACTCGGCATTAATTTAGACAGATGGCTGCTGCTGCAGAGTGGCAAGCAGGTACATCATGAAGCTGGACGTTGCCACGCATTTGAGAAAGAATGGGTGGAGTGCTGCCATGGCATTGGAAAAATCCGAGCAGAAAAAGAGTGCAAGGTGGAATATGAGGACTTTTTGGAGTGTATGCACAGAACCAAAACAGTAAGTCAGCATGCTATGTATAAGACATGTATTGAAGAGAGTATGGTGCACTCAGCTTCTTGACTTTTCACATGAGCGCTGCAGTGATTCAAAAGGAATGATTTCAGAAATCATAAGCGATCACCAGTTCATCAAATTCTCAATTGTGAGCAATTTATTGGTCACACAACAAGCAGTGTGATGTTTTGGATCCCTAACCAGCTTCTTCCTCATGCAAGCAATAAGGTAGAAGCCTGAGAAGATGCTGGTCAGAGCTCAGAAACTTTGCAATGTTTGTTATAATTGCTTATCTTTGAGCATATGATGTGCTGGGGATCTCTGTGACATCTATAATACAGGGTGCACAATGAATTGTATACCACTATAATGTAAGCTAGTACATGGCATCCGGTTTTTGTTTTCTTTTTAGTTTTTTTTTTTTGTTTTTTTCCTGCCACTACATTCATCTGTCTTAAGCAAACAAAATGCTCAGTCCCATGAAGTGTGTGGAGCATGTGACCCGCTCTCGTTAATTGGCACAGTGCTGTTAAATGGGGCAGGGAGACAGTCCTCAGCTTTCATTAAGCTCTGACTAGACCAACTTGGAGCTTATGCAGGGATTTGCTTTTTTGTTGACGGAGCACTATGGGCAAAGAGAAAAGTTGAGTATATGCCATTGGAGAAGATGGCATTAAAGAGAACCTTTTGCTTTGCCCTTAGTGGACAAAGCACTGGTCTGTCTTAATTTAAAAGTAGGATTTGGCTCAAAATTATAATTTCCATAATGGGTAGATATTTTTTCTTAACCTGCAAAATACTGTAAGTAGCGACTATTTTTTTTATATTAAACTATAAAAGCCAGTGGGAATGAAGGTGAAATTTGGATATTCTGGTTTAACCACTTGCCCTCCGGAGGATTTACCCCCTTCATGACCAGGCCTTTTTTTTTTTTTTGCTATGCAGCGCTGTGCTACTTTAACTGACAATTGTGCGGCCATGCAACGCTTTACCCAAATTAAATTTATAAAAAAAAAATTTAACAGTTTTCTTTTGACGGTATTTGAGCACTTCTGGGCTTGGCTTTAATTTTTTTATTAGAAAAAAGGCCAACAAATAAAAAAGAAAAAAAATATATATATATTTTACTTTCTGCTATAAAACCTATCCCATATGTAAAAATTAAATCGGTCAATAGATTTTGGCCAATATGTATTCTGCTACATGTCTTTGGTAGAAAAAAATCCCAATAAGTGTATACATTGATAGGTTTGTGTGAAAGTTTCAGCATCTATAAACTATGGGATATATACTGGAATTTTTATCTTTTTTTTATACTAGTAATGGCGGCAATCAGCGACTTATAACGGGACTGTGGCGGTCAATCTGACACTAACCAATTCTGGGGGGGGATTAACTGCCACTGACATCACCAGTACCATTATTCGTGATCAGTGCTAATATGTACTGTCACTGTACTAATGACACTGGGCAGGAAGGGGTTAACATCTAGGACGATCAAGAGATTAAATATGTGCCTAATGTGTTTTTGTGTGTACAATGTGCTGATTTTACTGTGGATCTAGTTTTCTGTTTTATAGATTTTTTTTACAAATAAGACTGTGATACAATCGTTATCCAATATATGCCAAGTGAACAGGTAGAAGGAAGGGGGGAGAAATTAGGTGATGGGTTCACTCTCCTACATACTCCAGGGCCAGAGCTTGGTTTCCTAATACAATGCCTTGAAAAAGTATTCATACCCCTTCAAATGTTCCACAATTTGTCATGTTACAACCAAAAATGTCAATGTATTTTATTGTGATTTTATGTGATAGAGCAACACAAAGTGGCACATATTTGGGAAGAGAAAGGAAAGTGATTAATGGTTTTCAACATTTTTTTTTTTTAAATATCTGAAAAGTGTGGCATTTGTACTTGGCCCCCCGGAGTCAATACTTTGCAGAACCACTCTTTGCTGCAATTTATAGCTGCAAGTTTTTTTGGGTATGTCTCTACCAGCTTTGCACATCTAGAGAGTAAAATGTTTGCCCATTCTTCTTTACAAAATAGCTCAAGCTCTGTCAGATTGGATGAGAGTGTCTGTGAACAGCCATCTTCAAGTCTTGTCACAGATTCTTAATTGGATGTAGGTCTGGACTTTGACTGGGCCATTCTAACAAATGAATATGCTTTGATCTAAACCATTCCATTGTTGCTCTGGCTATATGTTTAGGATCATTTGTCCTGCTGGAAGGTGAACCTCCACCTCCGTCCCGTCTTTTGCAGACTCTAACAGGTTTTCGTCTAAGATTGCCCTGTATTTGGCTTCATCCATCTTCCCATCAACTCTGACCAGCTTAACTGTCCCTGGTGAAGAAAAGCATCCCCACAACATGATGCTGCCACCACCATGTTTCACGGTAGGGATGGTGTGTTCAGGTTGATGTGCAGTGTTCGTTTTCCACCGCACATAGCGTTTTGCTTTTAGGCCAGAAAGTTCAATTTTAACCTCGTCTGAACAGAGCACCTTCTTCCACGTTTGCTGTTTCTTCCACATGGCTTCTCGCAAACGTGACTTTATGGCTTTCTTCTTCCCACACTTCGATAAAGGCCAGATTTGTGAAGTGCACAACTAATAGTTTTCCTGTGGACAGATTCTCCTACCTGAGTTGTTGATCTCTGCAGCTCCTCCACAGTTACCACGGGCCTCTTGGCTGCTTCTCTGATGTTCTTCTTGCCCAGCCTGTCAGTTTAGGTGGACGGCAATGTCTTTGTAGGTTTGCAGTTGTGCCATCCTCTTTCCATTTTCGTATGATGGATTAAACAGTGCTCCGTGAGATGTTCAAAGCTTGGGATATTATTATTTTTTTTTTATAACCTAACCCTGCTTTAAACTTCTCCACAACATTATGCCTGACCTGTCTGGTGTGTTGGCCTTCATGATGCTGTTAGTCCGCTAATGTTCTCTTAGCAACCTCTGAGGGCTTCACAGTACAACTGTATACTGAGATTAAATTACACACAGGTGAACTCTATTTACCAATTGGGTGACTTCTGAAGGCAGTTGGTTCCACTAGATTTTAGTTAGGGGTATCAGAGTAAAGGGAGCTGAATACAAATGCATGCCACACCTTTCAGATATTTGTAAAAAAAAAAAATTTTAAACCATTTATCATTTTTCTTCCATTTCAAAATTATGTGCCACGTTGTGTTGGTCTATCACATAAAATGGCCAATAAAATACATTTATGTTTTTGGTTGTAACAGGACAAAATTTGGAAAGGGTATACATTCCTTTTCAAGGCACTGTACATTCAATCTAGTACATAATTTCTTAGAGGCTGGCTCCAGAGGCATAGCTACAGTGAGGCAAACACGGCATTTGCCTAGGGCAGCATCTTTCAGGGGGGCGGCGATTTACAACGTATATTAAAGTGTGAGCATTGGGGAAGGGGGGGGGGGGGTTAGGGTGCAGGGGCGCAAAATATACAAGGTGAATGTGGGCATAGTTGTACCAGTTAAATGTGAGTATGGGCACTTGGGCCTTGTACAAGGTGTACATGAGTGCAGACTGTGGGTATGTGGGGGGGGCAGAGGATGTGCTTTGGTACTTGTTACAAGTCATGCAACAAATTTAGATGGGGGGGGGGGGGGGGGTCTTGCCTAGGGCAGCACAAAACCTAAATATACCACTGGCTGGCTCTACAGGAAAGAGAAACAACTTGCCCAGGGTGTAGGACTCTATATGTGAGATCATCCAACTGCATAAGACAGTCACAGACCTCATTATAGATGAACGTACATTGAAATGTAGGTTAAATGTCTTAGTTTCACAAAGAGGTAAAGAAGTAAGTCAGAGAATATTCCCCCTACTATTAGGCACTGAGCCGTGCTTCTTTTAAACATGTAAAAATGAGAGGGGCTTTAAGGTCTCCCCTTAAACTTCCTCATAAAGTCTGCAGACACTAAACATAAATCAGGAGAAAAAGGAAAGGGAAAAAATGTAGTCCTTCCGGCCCTGATCCCTGGCCAAAATATGTCCTGGTATCTAAGGGGCTTGAAGATATGCATTCCAGGGATTCCAAAACCTTCTCAAACCTGAATTGTTTGTCTTTAAGAATGCTGGTCAGTTTTCCATTAATCATAATCGAAGATATTTTATGTTTTCACCAAGGTAATGTTAGTTACCGGTGACTTCCATGCTTGTGCTATGGTTATTTTGGCAGCTGAAAGAAAATCCAGGTTCGAAGATGTCTGGGGATCGCGTCCAAAATGTCAGCGAACAATGCTGTTTTGGTGCTTTTAGAAATATTACCAAATAGAAAAAATTGATTACTTGGATCCAGAATAGTTGGATTTTTGGGCAAGACCACCAGACATATGGCCTTCCTGCCCACACCCTCAAAAGCAGAGGGATGAGGTGCCAGGATAGAGTTTTGCTAGCCTTGCGGGGACAAGGTACCATCGGGATAGTACCTTGTAGTTCACCTCCACTAGAGTAGTGTTGAGTATTCCTTTATGCACCATGGTCAACCACTGTGTCCACTCCCTCTGCTATTGCTCACCTAGGTCTGACTCCCATGCCCTTAGATAGGATGGCTTGTTATGTTGATTATTGAACAGAGCATATAACTCTCATATTCCCCCATGGGAGACAGCATCTTGTAAACATTTATTCTCGAACAGGGTCCTAGTGGTTGTATCAATCTGCCCAGTGTCTTCAATAAGTGATTAATTTGGCACAGCTGAAAGGTTTCTGCAGGGGGCATCTGCAATGTTTCCAAAAAATAGGAAGACTGTCTGATCCCTTTTATGTTCTAGAAAGTGTGCTATCCTATAGAGACCCTTGTTGATCCACCATGTAAACTATTGGGGGATTTTGCCCAGGAGGCAAATATGGATTATTAAATAAGGGGGCCACCAGGGAGTGAGGGGACTTTATTGGATATAATTTGCATACTGTATCCCATAAATGTAGGGAGTGCGATAAGAAGAGACTCAAGATTGCCCGGAGTTCCTTTGGGAAGATCCACATCAGAAGGTCCATAGGGGTTGATAGAACGGCTTGTTCCTCCAACTGCACCCAGTCAAGGCGATATATCTTAGAAAAAATGTTATATAGTTGGACCAGTTGAGGAGCCTGGTAGTAAAGCAGGTGGTGTGGAACCACCAGTCTACCCCCCCCCCCCCCCCCCCCCCACCCCCCCCCCCCCCCCTAGCAGGGAATGAAAAATTAACTAGAGTGAACACAGTTCTATGATGTTTACACTGACAGAGCTGTGTTCTATGAGTCTCAGAGCCCATCGCCGAATGCTGGCAATCACTGGCCAGCACCCCGGTGATTGGCATGTGCTGTGTCGAATCACAGCACAGTTGGGCATGCACCCCCTACCCCGGAATGCAGAAATATGTATGTATGTGATTCTGTGCAGAGCGGCTGCCCTATAGCAGTAAAGCTTACAATGGGTCGGTCGCAAGGTGGTTAAAAGAAACCATTCAGACTAAAAGGAGCTGCCATTGCTCACTTTTTTCTAAGATTTCTGCATTTGGGACTGTCATTCTGATCACTGCTTCAGTTCTTGAGTAACAGACCTAGGACCAGTATGCAGCCAGCAAAGTCATCTTGTCTTAAGTGAGTGACTTGCTTCAGTTAGTAAAGGAGGGATAAGGGCAACTCCCCTAGGGCTTTTACTTTTTTTAAATACAAAGGAGCAGTAGCAGCCCCATATCTCTGTATTGCTGGTTTTCTGTTAAGCCCATTGCTGGGCAGAATACGCTTACCAGGGTTAAATTAGTTGAACACTCTTTCAAAGCCACCGGCCATATTACGTACACTGTCTTCTTCACATCACAAGTGTTCTTGTTTACATGTGGGTACATCTCCCACTGTACTTAAAGCAGAGGTCCAGTTGAATAAAAACTAAAAGTCCACAGAATAAAAATTGTAGCTGCTGACTTTTAAAATCCAGACGCTTACCTGTTCCTCGGTCCATTGATGTCCTCACCATGACTGGTTTCGCCGGCCGTCTTCTCTTTCCCCGGCGCCGGCATTTCAGTGTGGGAACCCAACTGTGACAGTCTGCGGCTTCACAGCCAGGTGCCCACGAGTAGCGCTGAGCTTTGTGATTTTTGCTACCGTAGTCTTCTGGGACCTGTCATGTGTCCCAGAAGACTACAGGTAGGGAGGGGGGAGGACAACTTCCGCTTCCGATATCCTTAGGCATCGCAGCGGAAGTGGGGGTGCAAACATGAGTTAGACCCCAGCACTATAGTCACATCACTGCCTCCCTCTCCTCACTATTCACAAAACACATATCCTTATGCTTTGTTTTTTGAATGGCCAGGAGGAGGTTTGGTTTTTGGTTTTTTTTTTTTTTTTGTTTTTTTTTTGTTTTTTTTTTTTTGTTTTTTTTTTTTTTTTTAGGCTAATTTGGATGCATTTTATATTGTGTTAATTAGCTATTTGATATGCTATCATTTACATGTATTTTAAATACAGCTGTGTGAAAATGCACATCAGTATATGCTAACATTTTCAAAATTACACTCATGAATTTTTAAATGGCATTATGAATATGACTTTAGGTGAAACCCTGAGAAGAGGGATATATAATATATAGGTCATAAAAAGGACATTTCCTATTTTTTATGATCAGTAAATAATGATGATCTGTTATAATGTAGGCAATCTTCACACTATGACCCAGCAGAATGTATAATGTGCACATCTTTCTTCCAGCTGCAGCGTTTGAAGGCCATCAGGGATCAGATGGAGAAGCTAGAGAAGGAAGGGAAATACAAAGCTCCAGATTTCAGTAATGATCAAAACACACCTTAACGACATGGAATTAAAGCCTGTTTTGTTTTATTTGTTTTTTGTGACTAACTATTGAAGACAGCCAAACTCTTGCTGCATATTAAAATGCTTCAATTAAGTTTTACGGATTTCTTTATTTCAGTTGGTATCAACATATTTCTTGCATCATTTATTTAGGTAAATGTGTGTCTGTTCATTCCTATATGGGAAATAACCATATCTGTGTAAACTGACAGAAAAGAATCAATATGTACTTGTGCGTAGGATAAGCTACATCAATATTGGAAGAGCCTAGATTTTTAAAGGTATTTAAAAAGTTTTAAATAATCCCTCTTCTCCTTTTCAGCTGTCCAATGTATTTGAAATGGGACAGCAGAAACAGTAAAGCACAGTCACCAAAGCAGAAAGCAGATTATGTTTGTAGCAGCTGTAGTCTGTAATTATTTTCAGAGCCTTGTTTACACACTTCTGCTGCACTGCACAGTCTGGAAAATCACTGTACTGCTTCCTAATTCAGCATTGCTACTTCGTTGACCACCTGCCTACTCCCTGTGCAGAAGTTATATGCTGATCCCTCAAGAAAGGCTGAACGTAAATTCTTTAGCACGTAAGAATAATAAGACCTAATGGGAGGATTTCAACAAAGCTGCTACACCAGTTTTCTGTTGTTAATCCCTCTTGTTAACCACTTGCCCGCCAGAGGATTTTCCCCCCTCCTGACCAGGCCATTTTTATTTAAACAATACTGTTACTTTAACTGACAATTGCACGGTCATGCAACGCTGTACATAAATGCAATTCATGTCCTTTTTATTTCCACAGCTTTCTTTCAGTGGTATTTGATCACTTCTGTGGGTTTTTTTTTTTTTTTTTTTTTTTTGCGGTATAAACAAAATAAGACCGACAATTTTGAAAAAATATATATATTTTTTTTTGACTTTTTGCTATAAAAGATATCCAATAAAAAAACTAAAATACAAATTTCTTCATAAATTTAGGCCAAAATGTATTCTGCTACCAAAGAAAATAAGTGTATATTAATTGGTTTACGTGAAAGTCTACAAATGATGGTGTGTGTGTATATATACTGTAATACACAGTTGTGTTCAAAATAATAGCAGTCAGACATCACTAACCTGATCAATCACTGTTTTTGGTAGAAATGATATTTCTACATGGCAAATAATTTACTAGCAGGTGTAGTAGTGTAATAGAAATCCAACAGACCCAACAGTCATGACATGCATGCTGCTGATTCTGTGTAATTGAATCACTAATTGAAAGGGGCATGTTCAAAATAATAGCAGTGTGGAGTTCTATTAGTGAGGTCATTCATTCTTTGAAAAACAGGTGGCAATTATTGGAAGGAAGGCAGCAAATGTTGTACATGCTGGTTACAGTGCATTTCTCTGAAATTCTGAGGAAAATGGGTTGTTCCAGACATTGTTCAGAAGAACAGTGTACCTTGATTAAAAAGTTGATTGGAGAGGGAAAACATATAAAGAAATGCAGAAAATTATAGGCTGCTCAGCTAAAATGATCGCAAATGCTTTAAAATGGCAACCAAAACCTGAAAGACGTGGAAGAAAGCGAAAAACTACCATTCGAATGGATAGAAGAATAGCCAAAATGGCAAGGACTCAGCCAACAATCAGCTCCAGGAAGATCAAAGAAGGTGTAAAGTTACCTGTGAGTACTGTTACAATTAGAAGAAGCCTATGTGAAGCCAAGCTATCTGCAAGAAGCCCCCAAAGTCCCACTGTTGAAAAAAAGACGTGCTGAAGAGGTTACAATTTGCCAAAGAGCACATTGACTGGCCTAAAGAGAAATGGCGCAACATTTTGTGGACTAATGAAAGTAGGATTGTTCATTTTGGGTCTAGTGGCCGGAGACAGTTTGTCAGACGACCCCCAAACACTGAATTCAAGCCACAGTACACTGTGAAGACAGTGAAGCATGGTTGCACAAGCATCATGATATGGGGATGTTTCTCATACTACGGTGTTGGGCCTATTTATCACATACCAGGGATCATGGATCAGTTTGAATACATCAGAATACTTGAAGAGGTCATGCTGCCTTATGCTGAAGAGGAAATGCCCTTGAAATGGGTGTTCCAACAAGACAATGACCCCAAACACACCAGTAAACGTGCAACATCTTGGTTCCAGACCAACAAGATTGACGTTATGGAGTGGTCAGCCCAATCCCTGGATCTTAATCCAATAGAAAACTTGTGGGGTGACATCAAAAATGCAGTTTCTGAGGCAAAACCAAGAAATAGAGAAGAACTGTGGAATGTAGTCCAATCATCCTGGGCTGGAATACCTGTTCACAGGTGCCAGAAGTTGGTTGACTCAATGCAACACAGATGTACAGCAGTTCTCAGAAACAGTGCTTATACAACTAAATATTAAGTGATTCAAGGAAAGCAAAATCTTCAAACGTTTTTTCATTTTATATAGTGAATGTTTAAGTTTGTAAAGAAGAATACAAACACTGCTATTTTTGTGAACAGTCTAATATTCACTTTTCTTCAATTTTTTTTTTTTTTTTGAAGGAACAACACGAATTTTGATCTATTTTTCTTCATGTTTTGATTTGGAATAGAATGTGTAGTGTTCCCAATGCATTTGCGTGTATGGAAATAAAAGCTATTCGAAGGATTTTGAGCTTTATTCATTTTTTTCAACACACTGCTATTATTTTGAACACAACTGTGTGTGTGTGTGTGTGTGTGTGTGTGTGTGTGTGTGTGTGTGTATGTGTGTGTGTATATGTATATATATATATATATATATGTGTGTATATATATAATGGCAGCTATCGGCAACTTATAACGGGACTGCGGTGGGCATTCTGACACTGAGTGGGAACTAACAGCCACTAACATCCCCAGTGACACTTAATACAGTGATCAGTTCTATTAAAAGGCCCTGATACTGGACAGGAAGGGGTTAACATCTTGGGCGATCAAAGGGTTAACTGCTGTGTGTGTGTGTTTTCACATTGTGTGGTGTGCTGTGTTGTTTTACTAGGGAGACGTGCTGCTTTATATCTCTCTGCTGTGCAGAGAGATACAAAGTAGCTTGTCCTTTGCTGACAGGAGAGAGACCTGTGTTTACACACCGATCTCTCAGCCCTACTGACAGATTCCAGCCAACAACCCCATCAGCCAATAGGGGCTACCGCCCTGTAGCCCTACTTCTGCTATAGGGTGGAGGGAAAGTGGTTAATGTATTGCACCAAAATCATAAAGCATTTGTAACACTTGCTTCTGATGGACCCGTGCAGCAAATTCATGTAGTTCTAAAATGTGCCCTTTTTTACATTGCGCCAGTTGTAAAAGTGGAGTAATTAAGACCAACTTTCTTTTGGGTACAGAGAAAAAATTTGGCTTAGACAGATTTTGTGAAAGTGGCTCGAGTGCATTCTAAAAGTGGTGCAGCATGCACCAAATTCATGTACAAGCTTTAGACAGGTGCATGAATTTGGCACATTCTTCGCCACTTTTAGAACACATGATACTTTTGCAATATATTTTAACTGTGTATAACTGCTCTACCTTGGGTTTAACTTTTAGTCAGAATCCCCTTTTGTGTACCTTTGACTTACAGGTGAAACTCAAAAAATTAGAATATCATGCAAAAGTTCATTTATATTTCAGTAATGCAATTTAAAAGGTGAAACTAATATATGAGATAGACTCATTACATGCAAAGTAAAATAGTTCAAGCCGTGATTTGTCATAAGTGTGATGATTATGGCTTACAGCTCATGAAAACCCCCGAATCCACAATCTCAGAAAATTAGAATATTGTGAAAAGGTGCAATATTCTAGGCTCAAAGTGTCCCACTCTAATCAGCTAATTAAGCCATAACACCTGCAAAGGGGTCCTGAGCCTTTAAATGGTCTCAGTCTGATTCAGTAGGAATCACAATCATGGGAAAGACTGCTGACGTGACAGTGGTGCAGAAAACCATCTTTGACACCCTCCATAAGGAGGGAAAGCCTCAAAAGGTAATTGGAAAAGAAGTTGGATGTTCCTAAAGTGCTGTATCAAAGCACATTAATAGAAAGTTATGTGGAAGGGAAAAGTGTGGAAGAAAAAGGTGCACAAGCAGCAGCGATGACCGCAGCCTGGAGAGGATTGTCAGGAAAAGGCTATTCAAAAGTGTTGGGGACTTTTCACAAGGAGTGGTCTGAGGCTGGAGTCAGTGCATCAAGAGCCACCACATACAGATGGATCCTGGACATGGGCTTCAAATGTCGTATTCCTCTTGTCAAGTCACTCCTGAACAACAAACAACGTCAGAAGCGTCTTACCTGGGCTAAAGAAAAACAGACCTGGTCTGTTGCTCAGTGGTCCAAAGTCCTCTTTTCTGATGAGAGCAACTTTTGCATCTCATTTGGAAACCAAGGACCCAGAGTATGGAGGAAGAATGGAGAGGCACACACTGCAAGATGCTTGAAGTCCAGTGTGAAGTTTCCACAGTCTGTGTTGATTTGGGGAGCCATGTCATCTGCTGGTTTTGGTCCACTGTGCTTCATTAAGTCCAGGGTCAACGCAGCCGTCTACTAGGAGATTTTGCAGCAATTCATGCTTCCTTCCGCAGACGAGCTTTATGGGGATGCTGACTTCATTTTCCGGCAGGACTTGGCACCTGCCCACACTGCCAAAAGCACCAAAACCTGGTTCAAACTCGCCTGACATGAACCCCATAGAGAATCTATGGGGCATTGCCAAGAGAAAGATGAGAGACATGAGACCGAACAATGCAGAAGAGCTGAAGGCCGCTATTGAAGCATCCTGGTCTTCCATAACACCTCAACAGTGCCACAGGCTGATAGCTTCCATGCCACACCGCATTAAGGCAGTAATTGCTGCAAAAGGGGCCCAAACCAAGTACGGAGTACATATGCATGCTTATACTTTTCAGAGGTCCGATATTGTTCTATGTACAATCCTTGTTTTATTGATTGCATGTAATATTCTAATTTTCTGAGATTGTGGATTTGG